ATGGTGCACTTTTGTTGTTTATTTGCCAAATATTTTTTCTTATTATTCTCATTGTGAATATAATTTACAAACAAACCAAAGGACTTTTGAACTTTTAACAAGTGCCATTCGGTAACTACAATATACTTGGTTGCAGGTGACCTGGCTCAATTATTATCATTATTGACCATAATGTCTCCTATAAGGACTCCAGCTCAACTAGTAAACTGACTGGTGTCCCACTATTCCATTCAGAAATACCATATTAATTTTATCAATTGCAATAAATGCATGAACTGCACTCCAAAAACATGAATATCCAATTGTAGGAAAACCCAAAGTGATTAATTAAAACCTTAAATGTAGCTTCAACCTGGAAAGACTCGCACAGAAAGTAGGTTTTAGAAAGTTCATTTGACAATAATCTTCAACTTTCTGATCCCGGCAGTAGACACTGTACTGGTAACCACCAGAGAGAATTATCTTTTTTCTACATGAAAACCTTTTTGAATAAAGTCTGTCTTCATCTCACCTGCTCAGCCAATCACCTGCTCAGGTGCCTCCCTCCCAGCCTAACGGCGCCGGTCTCAAGTCCTTCACCCTTCATAAAGTCCAGCTTGATGTGTGCAACTGCTCCTCACCTGAGCTTCCATCACCTCCACCCTGATTACACCTTCGCTTTGCTCGTTTAATCTTATGTTTGTATCTGAACAATATGTTTCTGCAACTTATTTTTTATTACATAAAACAAGTTGATTCTAACTGTTAAAACATAAACAACTTGTCTGTATGTCAGGTTTGTAAAGAAAATTTGTATTGATTCCAGTCATTGTTCAAAAATGTATAGGAAACATTGTATATTGCAAGTTATTAGCTTTGCTTGCATTTAAAATTTTCCAATTGTTAAACAACACTGTTACAATATATTTACAACTACTTTATTGGTTCTACTGTCTCTCCAACAAATTACAGCCACAATGTAACTTTGTGGAAACGACACCATTTCTATGAAAACTAAATGATGTAAATCAACTGAGCTACAACAAAAGGAACTTTCAAAAATGTAAATAATATTGAAAGAACACATTATGAAAAAGGAGGACTGCACAAGTCAAAAGGTAAATATTCTTTATCAGAAACGATTTCAAATGGCATGTCACAAAAAAAACTAACAATATGTGACAGATTGTGGAAAGCAACTTATATTTTCTTTGAATTCAATGTTGGCACTCAGGGCAAAGTCCAGGTATGCCATCACAGTAGTAACGAGGGTACTCTCCTCTCCTCCGCATCTGAAAATAAAAAAATAAAAAAACAAACAAAATAAAAAACAGGTGCATTGCAAGACTGTAATACAGGAAGAATGGATGATACATATGATTATGAATGAATCTTACCTGTAAGATTGGCGGTATCCTTTCTACCTGCATGGTGAAGAGCATTAAACAATAATTAATACTTTATATCTCTCAGTATCTTATCCTTTCATCTCTAATGATATAAAAAAAGTTGTCCAAATAATGAATTTTAATAAAAAAATATATATATAATAATTTAGGGTTTTGGTCTCATTTGCACATAAAGATACACAAATCAAAATTACTAGTTATGTGTAAATTTAAAAAATTAACCTCAAAAATGAATAGGGCTTGGTCGTCGTGACGTAAGCACTTCGCGTCGCCGCCATGTTGAATGCGTCTTTTACCGCGGCTCAGACTACTGCCTATGACTACCGGGTACTGTACTCCCTCTCAGCCGTGTTTTAATTTGATTAATTTCACCTTAACTTGATTTCAACCATGGTAAACCGTTGCTGTATTGTGGGCTGTAACAGCTCAACGCATGATCGCCATGGAAACATAGAAAATGGGTTAACTTTCCACCGCTTTCCTGAATGGACGCGTAACCATGGAGACCAAGCGTCAGAGATAAAGAGTCGTCGGCTTGCTTGGATCGCGGCTGTAAGACGACCGAACATAACTTTCCACAGTATTCCAATGTCAATGAGAGTGTGTTCCCTGCATTTTCATTCTGGTAAGTTAAAGATGCACGGTTTTATTTTATAGCCTACATTGTTTCTTTCCTTCAAAGTTGGGATCTTTTACGGGAAAATAATAAAAATGGCAGCGGGAAAAGGCTCAAATACGTGAGAAACCCGGAGGGTTGGCAGTTAACGTTACTAACTACACTTTTGAAACACATAGCAGCTAGTTAAAAGTACATTACATGCGTGAGTGGTTGTTAGCATTAGCGGTTAGCAGTTGCTAAACTAGCAGGTTCCAGAGCCCGTCTGATCACAGCTTACCTTCGTACGGATTACTGTGTTCCCACTGTTTGCTGGCTTTATGATCTGCAGCTCCTGAACTCATCCATTCATGAACTGCACATGAGACTCCAAGGACTTGTAGCTTCGGAACTGTTTTGAAGTATAGGCGCTCACTCATCGGTGCTCCACTCATTGTTTGGAACTTCATATGGATCCAAATTATTAATAATGCTGATTTTGTCACCATACCGGTCCCTGGCTTCTCTATTTAATGTGTCCCGGTAAATTCCAGATCCTTTTCGGGATTTTAACATCTTTTTTCTCTCTACTTCTGTCTCTTCTTTCAACAACAACGTTGTGTCAGAGCTATGTTTACGTTTGCGTAGCCGTCAATATGACTGCGACGTCCACAATGCAACGTGGATCCCGAGCCCTATTAATACAAATTCTATGACTTAAAACAACAAAGTGATGAATTTTAGCTACAGCTTACCTCACATTTTGCCCTCTCTTGAACTTTTCTTCTTCTTCTTATGAGATTTTATGGCGGTTGGCAAACTTGTGAAATGTGCATTACCGCCACCAACTGATATGGAGTAAAGCAAGGAAACAGGAAACGATTCACCCCCCCCAATAAAAAAATAAAAATAAAAAATAAAAATAAAAAAAATACCTGTGTAACTTAAACCCACATAATACTAAATTATACTAAATTACATTTGCCCGTATAATTTTAATTTACTCTAGGTCATCGTAACTCTGCCAGTTTCTGATGATCCCATTGGTCTTTCCATCATGCTTCCAACCATCTCCCAGTTCATATCTTTAACATCCAGATATTTTTCTGCAGCCTTCACTATTATTTTGATTTTTTCTGTTTTTTTTTTGTCGTCTGAGCAGTACAATTAATCACTTCCACCATGAAAAGAACAAAATTTGTCTTTTTAACAATTAGTGAGTCTTCATCAATTTTTGGAGATTTCTCTAGAGGTTTGAAATTTGCCGTGTGTTGAACTGTAGGTTTGGGTTTTTCTGACTGAGATGGGATCCTTTTTGCAGCTTCAGCATAAGTTATTCCAAGCTCAAATTTCATTTTTTTTATTTCTTCAGACCTTTTGCTTGCTTCACAGCCGCGATAAGCAGCAGTATGTTCTCCACCACAATTACAGCATTTTATTTTAGCTTCTTTTCCACATTTACCATATTCATGTTCTCCTGCACACCTTCCACACCTCTGTTTCCCTTTACAAACTGCTGCAATGTGTCCGAATTTTTGACATTTGAAACATCTCAATGGTGGTGGATTGTAGATTTTGACATTGTAACTGATGTAACCAATGAATACTTTGCTTGGTAATTGCTCTTCCTCGAATTTAATTAGTACAGATAAACTGTCAGATCTTTCTCCGTTTCTTGTTGTTTTTAACCGTTTTACTTCTTTTACTTTTGCACCGCTTATGTTTTCCAGAATCTCTTTTTCAGAAATTTTCAGAGGAACTCCTCCAATGACTCCCCTGCTGATCTTTTTGTTCTCCATTAGGCTGCACTGAACTCTTATCCCGTCAATTTTGTTAATTCGTATTGCTTTGCCTTGCTGGGCGCTGTCTCTGCAGTTAATTAGCAGGTCTCCACTGTACAGAATTCTGGCACCTCTGACTTCTCCAACAAGTTTATTGATGGTTTTTGTTAAGTGAACCGGATTCCAGTTTGTAAAAGAGTCTGCCTGATTAACGACTTTGAATATGACTTTGAATTCATTTTGTTTTGCTGTGGAATGTATGGATTGATCATCACTGGATTGTTCTGAACTAGATTCCCCTTTAACTGATCTCTGTTTTTTCCGCTTTTTCTCATTTTTTGATGCTGCTATCTTCCAACCTTCATTGTCACTATTTCCCTCTTCCATCCCACAAGAATCGCTTCCTGTTTCCTCACTACTCACGGCCCAGGACATTTCTCCACAAGCAGAGCAGCTTCAAAACACGCGCCATGCACCAAACGACCCTCATGAACTTTTTTCCGCTTTCTCTCCTTTTGTAGTTCTTCTCTGGACCTTTTAAAAAGGACAAATTGACAAAATGGCGTCTTAGCAACAAATGTCACGTGACTGACGGAGACCGATTGAAGGTTTTCTTAAAAAACTGAATCTAGAAAACGTATTAATTTACTATGTGAAAAAAAATTACCATTTGTTGATTTTGTGGGTTTTGCATTATGGATCGTGTGCCGAACACCAGTGCAAAAACTTTTCAAACTTCTTTCTTTCTTCTTCCTTTCCTCTTAACCCCGCGTCTTTAAGGCATTTATACTAGTGATTATGAAAATAGCGCCCCCTTCATTTCCGGAATGCAATAGTCCCATTTCCAAATAAGGTATGGGACTGACGGAAAGGTCCGTCCCCGCCCCTTTCTGTTTGCTGCAGCGAGGTCCTTCTCCCTGCAGTTTCTGCTTACCCAGATTTACACCATTGCTCTGCACAGAAATCTTTCTTAGTGAAATGTTTTTTATTTTTTTTATTGAACAAAAAAGTTATTTTCATTTTCAAGTAAGAATCACCACATTTCTTTCTTACATAAAAAAAAGAAGCCAACATATATAATAAACTTAAATTCTTAGTTAAATGTCTGATGTTTCAAGTTAAAGCAAGCAGCAGTCACGTGTCTTAGTCTCGGCGCCACATGGTTCCGCCTCTTTGTTATAAGCAGAGATAAGCTCCTCCCACTTTATAAGCAGAGATAAGCCCCTCCCACTTAGCGTCTCATAACATCGGCAGGCATCACCGGGGGAGACAGCTGAGAGCTAGCTGAGAGAGAAGCTCGGTCACTTCTGCAGAGTTCATTTTATTGCCGCTGCGCCTCCAGTTCACCACAGTCAGACAACAACAAAAGAAAGCCGTCCCTCGCCCTGACAGCTCACGGCGCAGTCTCACATTAACGGACGGCGCGTTTTGTTTTATTCAGGAACTCAGAGGTGAGTGCTGGAAACGTCAGTTAACGAACACCAATCTCCCTATGCAACCTTCCTTGTGTCTCATCAAAGGGGAGCTAATGTGTCGAAACCGTTTCAACTCCCGACTTCCTGTCACCCTCTCAGTCGGTTGAAAAACAGCCGGTGGCAGTCGGCTAGCGTAATAATATGTTTGTGAACAAGCTGTTCTTTGAGCCGAGTTTTTAGCAGTTATGACTGAAGCGACGAATCCAGTAGCAAAAAAAAGACAAAAATCCTCGTAAACACTGAAGAATGGAGCAGAGAGAGGAGCTGGGGAGATAAACTCGATCAAATCAAAGTGCCACATAGAGATTAGCTAAAAGTAAAAGAATAAAGTCCTAGGTCTATTACTTCCTTTGGTGTGTTGCAATGCTGTACATTAATAGCCAGGAATCGTTGACATGTCTAATAGTTTGTTTTTTTTCATGATCTGTTTCTCTCCAGCCCAAGCAGAAACTCCACCAGGCCAGCACAAACAAAAACACAATCTAAGAGCCAAAGTCAGCTAATTCACCAGGCTATTGTTTTTTTCACTCCTTCAGAAAGTGTTCAATGCTTAATCAAAAAGTTTCAAATGTAATGAATGAATGATGTTTAAGATAAGCAGGTTTGTTATCTCTCAGCTGACTCACCACCCTTTGTCTCTCTGGCAGCTGTCATGCCCTGCTGTTGATAGCCCACTGTATGGAGACCTTTAATCAGTCACACATCAGGAAGTTTTTTCATCATATCCTTCCAAAGGTTTAAAATCTGGTAGCCAAATTAGGTGTTAGATTTTTATTTACTTGAGTAGTTAATCAATGCTGCCCCTCCTCCACCCGTTGCTGTTTACACTGCTATTAAGTTACTCTGTGAAAAGAAGGCTGCTGCAGTTTTTTAAAGCTTAGAAGAAGAGGATTACAATTTTGTAAACAAGCCTTTTTTGACTCCCTTTTTTTTCTCCAGACACTGAACAGTTTAAAAGATGACGACTTCGTGGAGTGACAGATTGCAAAATTACGCAGACCTGCCCGCCAACATGGACGGCCTGGCTATGAAAAAGTACAGGAGGGAGCCGTACCACAGGTAAGAAGCACAATTCTATGTGGAGAACATGCAGGAAGAATGGCAATCAGGATCCAATCTCTTGTAATGTTGACTTTTGATGAACATGTCTTACTTTGCACATTTATGGTATGTAATATTATTGAGCTGGTCTCTCATGTTTTAAGGAATAGAAGTCAGAGGATTGTACAGAATACATTTTAATTTAAACAAAGATAAAATATCTTTTGAATATGTCTTCTTAGTTTCTTTTTTTTTTACCCTTACTCTCCAAACTACCTTTGGCGATTGTTAATCAAAATTATTGAACAGACATCATTTCGTTTCACCTGCAATGTAATGGGGTACTTGAAAATAAATGTTTGGTTCTGTATATATCAAACTTGAGATTCCTTACATATGGGTTTTAAAGGCTTATATTGAGACACAGTTGGTCACTTTAACCAGAAACAAACAATCCTCTGATCTACAGTAAAATGCCTTTGGCTTACTTGAATCAGGGAGGTTTAGAGGGGTATATTTGACTAACTTACTCTTCTGTTTGTAAAACATTCAAAGTTATTCTTACCTATAGTCTTTGAAGGAACACCATGTTATCCAATGTGTTTCACATAAATACTCTGAAAAGTGCTACAAATGCCTGTTATGTGATCAAATATCTAACATATAATAGGCTAAAATGAACTAATTTGTTCTACCATACATCAGTCTCATGATTAGTTACCAGCCTAAATATGTATTAAGGATTAATTATTACCAGCCGCATAATTAAATGAAAAAAACCTAATAACTTTATGTAAGAATCATATTAATACTTATACTATACTTGCATTAAACATTACATTAGATGTAAATGACTATTGTAGCTGGTTGCTAAGAGAATCAAGAATGCATTTATTAACCATACTAATCTACTTTCACAATTAAATATTTAAACAAATCCTGACACAAAGCAACACTAAGAGAACATTTTTGTGGGACAATGAAGCAGGTTTAACAATTAACTTACTACGGTTTCTGGTATCTCTCTGACGTTGAAAGAAAAAAGCTGTTTGTCTGATTTAAGTGATTATATCCCATTTTAACTTAGAAAATAATAATTTAGGAAAAGGTAAATACTCCTAGGGATTCAACAGTGACAAATTCTTTGACAGAGTGAGTTTCACACCAGAACCTGCCCTAATAGAAGTATTGGTTTTCTTCACTATCTGTTTGGCTCACAGAACTGCATTTGGATCACTACCCAGCAGGTTCTCACAGTCTCTTTTTTCAGCTTATTTGTCAGGAGAGAATCTCACACAACCAGCTATTTATTCAGCCTCGGGTACACAAGGACCTCTGGGTGTCTTTGGGGCTCCTTACTTGAGAACATATTGAACCAATCGTATAAAAGAAGGTGAAAAAAACAGCTTTGATAAACATTGCTAAATGGAACTGACACATTTCCTCTGCATATGTTTGTGCAGGAAAAAAACCAAGCAAATCTCACTGCTGCAATTCACATTGAAATACTGCACTAAAAATATAAAGCCTATTGTGCACAGCTATTATGCAACCTTTAGCTGGATGGGTTAATGAAACCTGCTTCAGACTGGTAGAGCAGAATGTCTGGATTGATTTATTTTTGTGCCCTTTTCTCCTCCTCAGCTGCACCTCAGAGTTGATCGTTTCCAACAGATAGAATCCATCACCAGGCCATGGTTTACCTAGAAAATAGAAAAAATAGAACTCTTCTGCTTAACTTGTTTGAACATCAGGAGATTACAGAGAACACACTGTAGCTAAGATTCCCCTGATGGATTCCACAATGTTCGCATATTTAGCCTTAAGAAATAAAAAGACAAGTATGGATACAGATTTTAATTTATTAATCAGTCTTGATATATTACATCTAATTATACTTGTACTCCACGTCTTCCGCTTATCCGGGACAGGGTCATGGGGTAGCAGTCTCAGCAGAGACTCTCAGACTTCCCTCTCTCTAGACACCTCATCCGGCTCTACTGGGGGAAGCCCAAGGGCCTCCATGGCCAAGCAAGAGTCCGTCCAGCATGTGGGCATGTCTGCATGCTGTCCCCTGGTCCTCTCCCTGGTGAGATGTGTCCGAAACACCTACTGAGGGAGGAGTCATTGGGCATCTGAAAAAGAGGTCTGAGCCACTTCAGGTGACTCGTCTGTAAGGGAGTGCCAGGGCCAGCCAGCGGAGAAAGCCATCTTGTTCTTCCGGTCATGATCCATGATGATTTTAATGACCAAAGATTAGAGAATCGAATGTAGACCTACTGTTAAATTGAGAACTCTTCCTTCATGCTCCCCTTTCTCTTCACCACACCATGCTATAATATAGCTTCTGCATTTTAGTAGCCGTAGCACAGATCCATCTTTTGATTTCCTGCTCCATTCTCTAATCACTCAAGAACAGGATCCCAAGATACACTATATTGCCAAAAGTATTTGCTCACCCATCCAAATTATTGGAATCAGGTGTTCCAATCACTTCCATGGCCACAGGTGTATAAATTCAAGCACCTAGGCATGCAGACTGTTTTTACAAACATTTGTGAAAGAATGGGTCGCTCTCAGGAGCTCAGTGAATTCCAGCGTGGAACTGTGATAGGATGCCACCTGTGCAACAAATCCAGTCGTGAAATTTCCTCGCTCCTAAATATTCCACAGTCAACTGTCAGCTGTATTATAAGAAAATGGAAGTGTTTGGGAACGACAGCAACTCAGCCACGAAGTGGTAGGCCACGTAAACTGACGGAGCGGGGTCAGCGGATGCTGACGCGCATAGTGCGAAGAGGTCGCCAACTTTCTGCAGAGTCAATCACTACAGACCTCCAAACTTCATGTGGCCTTCAGATTAGCTCAAGAACAGTGCGCAGAGAGCTTCATGGAATGGGTTTCCATGGTCGAGCAGCTGCATCCAAGCCATACATCACCAAGTGCAATGCAAAGCGTCGGATGCGGTGGTGTAAAGCACGCCGCCACTGGACTCTAGAGCAGTGGAGACGCGTTCTCTGGAGTGACGAATCGCGCTTCTCCATCTGGCAATCTGATGGACGGGTCTGGGTTTGGCGGTTGCCAGGAGAACGGTACTTGTCTGACTGCATTGTGCCAAGTGTAAAGTTTGGTGGAGGGGGGATTATGGTGTGGGGTTGTTTTTCAGGAGCTGGGCTTGGCCCCTTAGTTCCAGTGAAAGGAACTCTGAATGCTTCAGCATACCAAGACATTTTGGACAATTCCATGCTCCCAACTTTGTGGGAACAGTTTGGAGCTGGCCCCTTCCTCTTCCAACATGACTGTGCACCAGTGCACAAAGCAAGGTCCATAAAGACATGGATGACAGAGTCTGGTGTGGATGAACTTGACTGGCCTGCACAGAGTCCTGACCTCAACCCGATAGAACACCTTTGGGATGAATTAGAGCGGAGACTGAGAGCCAGGCCTTCTCGTCCAACATCAGTGTGCGACCTCACAAATGCGCTTCTGGAAGAATGGTCAAAAATTCCCATAAACACACTCCTAAACCTTGTGGACAGCCTTCCCAGAAGAGTTGAAGCTGTTCTAGCTGCAAAGGGTGGACCGACGTCATATTGAACCCTATGGATTAGGAACGGGATGTCACTTAAGCTCATATGTGAGTCAAGGCAGGTGAGCAAATACTTTTGGCAATATAGTGTACTTGAATTTCTCCCCTTGAGGCAGGAACTCTCTTCGAACTTTGAAGAAGACAAGCTACCTTTTTCCGGTTGAGAATAGGGTTGTCAAAAGTATCGATACTCAAAAAAGTATCGATACTGAAACGTTGTATCCGGATACAATACTCATTTTCAAAAGTATCGATACAGTGCTACCACCAGTGGCACCTAAACAGTCATTCATCTAAAGTGGAGAATAGAGGAAAATGCACTTTCTGAACACTGTGTGATTGAATAATTCTGTGCATTTTTCAGTTTCAGACTTTTTTTGTAACAGGTGCAGCTGCTGAGAATTATTTTTGTTTCTTAACCGGTCTGGCTAGTGTCATTGTTATGTGTGCAAAGCATAGCCAAGGAAGGAACACTTAATTTTAATTTTGTAAGTTTTTTATCAAGCTTGCTTAATATTTTGCACAGCATACAATCTCAGAATATTGTTCTTATTGTTTATTGTATTTATTTATTTTTATTATTAACGAAAATTTCTGTTGAATTTTGGAGTCTTTGTTTTTATTCTTGTGGTATCGAAAATGGTATCGAGTATCGAATATTTTCATTAGTATCGGTATCGAGTTGAAAAGTTTAGTATCGTGAGAACCATGGCCTCAACCTTGAAGTAACTGATTTTCGTCCTGGTTGCTTCCCACTGTGCTGCAAACTGCTCCAGTGCATGTTGTTGGTGTGGGCGGGAGGAAGCCAGCAGAACCACATCAGAGGGATGAAATCCTCCGGCTGCCAAACCTGAACCCCCCTGGACCCTGGCTATTCCAAGAAAACCTGTTTATAAATGTTATGAACAGGACCAGTGACAGAGGGCAGCTCTGGCGGAGTCCAACATGCTCCAGGAAAAGGTCTGGCTTATTGCTGGCAATGCAGACCAGGCTCCTGCTCCGCTTGTACAGTGACCCTATTATGGTGCCCCCACAGGGGACATGGTCGATTGGCTTCTCCAAGTCCACCTTACAGATAAAAAAAAAAAAAAACTGCTGGGCAAACTCCTACAAACCCCCAGGTGTCCTGTAGAGGGTGCAGGGCTGGTCCACTGTTGCATAACTGCAACAAAAACCACATTGCTCCTCTTGAAGCCAAGAAAATCAGCCAGGCTCTCCTCTCCAGCACCCTGACTGGCATAGTCATTCCCAAGGAGGCTGAGAGGTGCAATCTCCTTATTGTTGGAACACATCCTCTGGTCACCCTTCATATGGAGGAGAATCACCCCCTTCAGTCTGCTAGTCCAGGGGCAATGTCCCCAACCGCCAAGCGATGTTGAAGAGGCATGACGGCCTAACACCCAGAGACCTAGGGAAGTCAGAACAGCCTTGACCCAATGGGTTGTTTCTAGACCACCTCTGTGACCTCACCCAGGGTGATGAACATGTCTAACTCCGCTTCCAGGAGCCTAAATTCAGTTTAAGTTAAGATAAAAAGAAATCATTAATAAGATACATTAAATATCAGAAAGTAAAAGGTTCTCATATGTAAGGATATTCAATATTTCTAATTGTACTGAGGTTCTTTTGCAAATGTGCTTGGTTTGTTTGTGGATGTTTAGGGGAGTGGCTTCTGCTTCAGTTTTGGTCAGGTAATTGGAGTGGAGCCACAGAGTTTTTCTCCTAAGCTTCTTTAATAATTTCATTTTTTATGGAAATATAATACCTGTATTGTTTGTTTATTTTATTTTATCATTTTTATTAAGTAAATGCTTGAACCTAACAGAGAGGAACCCATTTGTTTTTTCCTTTTTTTTTACCATCAAGCAGATTACAGAGGGTAAAAGAGCGTTGAGCTTATGGCTTAATTACTTAGGAAATTACATTTTTCAAAAAAACTCGCTCTACACGGATTGGAACAATTTGGAGCGGACTGACCGACAAGGACTACTTGGGAAACCTACACCGAGTACTCAATCTCTGCTTCCACCACGGAAGGCTTGGTAGATTTCCTCAAAGTATTTCTCCCACCATCCGACAATGTTCTCTATTAAGTTCAGCAGCTTCCCGACAGTGGTAGCGAAGCACTGCTAGGCCCTCTGTAGGCGTCAAACAGTTTACCAGAGTTGCTCTTATACTAACTAGTAGTTTTTCCTCCATGGGGTCCCATAGCCTGAGACATGAGTCACATACCCCCTCACTGTCGAAAGGCGCAGGAACGCAACGCTAATCCAACGGGGTAAACTTAAACACGAGACAGCTAAGCTAGGCCGGAGACAAGGTCTTGTCATGGTTAATTCGAAAAATATTTCAGAGGTGTTTTAAAATTTTAGGTCATAAAATAATTGGTATAAAACAGAACTGCCTAACTCCTGTCTCTGAGCGCTAGTATCCTTCAACCCTCTCTCAAATGAGTGGCTTGTTGCCTCGCCTCTGCAGAGCTGAATGACTGAATGATGATGGGGGAATTCATCAGCATGTGAGCAGACACGAGAGAAACAGCTGATGAAGGATTATTGGCCTATTTTGTGTTTCAAATTCAATAAGACAAACAAGTTTCTTAATAATAATTTGTTGACAGCAAAGCTTCTCTCAAATACATGCTGTCAAGGCAGACATTCGTGGTACGAGTTTCGTCTTTTTTTCTGCCTTCTGTAAAACACAATAATTTTTGCCTCCTTTGACTGCATGCTCACTCTGTTATTTGCTTACAGTTAAATCCAATGCATTTCTTTATCTCTTGCTTTATCAAATAGTCCTTATTTCTGTATACGCTGATGGGGAACCACCCTGCTATAAAAATCCGTCAGATATAAGGAAGAGTTCATTCAAGGGTACAGTATTCTACTGTAAGTGGCTGTTTAATGTTTAACTCACAGCCATGGGGACAATGGTTGCTGTTGTTCTGCTTTGCCATCATATCATATGCTGTCCTCAGAGGCTTTATAAACCCGTCAGTAATCTGATGGATTTATGTGTGCTGTTAGGGTAAAGGTCGCCCAGTCCATGACAACCCACCCCCCCCATTTCAAACACACATGCATACAAACCGCCACACGTATTGGCAAAACAATTCCTTGCTGAGATAATGCATTTGTGTTAGAAGTTGTTGATCAGTTTAGCCCTTTATGTAAATGGAGTCGTTTGTTTATCACACAGTTGGACGGTGGTCCTCTCTAAGACTCAGTGCTATCCTGAGACATCACATCACAGAGGGCGGATAAAACTTTCTATTTCCCAGAGTCCAAACACCGTCTGTGTGAGATTAGAGAGCAGTGGAAAGAATCCGGCCGGTTGTCCCACAGCTGCTTCCATTTGGAGTTAAAGTAATTAAGGGCTTCTCTTTTATACTCGGCGTGGCCCATTGGGGATATTTGTGCAGCGTCGTCAACGTGACCAAAATCGAGGCTGACTACAGCAATCAGAACGCCCATATCTCTTGTCTAGTTTAGGTGGAGCTGGGGTTATCATTAATGGGCGTTCATTGCCACCCTCTGCCATCCAGTCAAAGGTTACACATTTGATGTCATACCCATAAAAATAGCAAAGCTCTGGATTTTAGTCATTGGCTTAGAATGGCTTCTGCCCCCTCTGCACTTAGAAACTGTGAACATAAACACTCTACCTTTTGATTTTTAAATTTTTTTATTTGTTCATCTTTTTCTGATTGAAAGCGATAAGCAGTTTAGCCTTCACATTTATCTGTAATCTTAATCAAACCCATAGAAAAATCTGTGGTCATAAGTCTGAACTGCTAATCTCTGAGCGTTCAGTGTGACAGCCAAGACGACCTCTGATTCAGCACTTTCCCGATCAAAGACGGGTGAATATCATGCAGTGCCGGATATTTTCCGGAAAAAGCCGTACAGTGATTGCTGCTGCAACTGATGCCTGATTCTTGTATTTGTTGTCCACCCAGCGGCGCCTCTACTGCCTTACTTTGATTCAGAAGTAGGGTTAATCCTGTAATCCTTTCATTTTCTGTTAGAGTCAAAACTAATACCTCTGTCAAAGCCCTTTTTATTCCTTCTCATTTGAACAAAAAAAGAATCCATCAAAACTGTAGGCGGAAGGTCAGAAATACAAATAAGACAAACATGGTACTGGCTAGGAAAATTACTGGTCCAGGCTGTTCTTTTGTGTTTTTGCGTATTTATTTCTGATCTTTTAGATCATAATAACAGTGTTATTATGATTACTATTTGTGTTAACTGTAAGGAGTAGGGGTTTATCAGCTTAAACAAAGGCAATAAATCTGTATCAGTGAGAAAAAGTCTTATTGGTTCATTTTATAAAGTAATAAAAAGATTGTTGGTTCCTTTGGGTTTATCCATTGATATTGAGGTGATAAATTGATTTAAGAATAATAATTAATGAGTCCACAAGATGGCTACTGAAATCTGCCACTACCTGTGTTTATTCTGAGGGTGATCTGAGCAGTAAGCAGCTGTTGCTTCGTGGCCCTGCCTGACTTGGGATTGTTCTAGATATCTTTGAGGGAGCCACAAACATCGTACTGCTCGACAACAACAACCCTCACTGACAACAATAGAGAATGACGCGGAACGGCCACAATCAGTTTTGCAACAAGACAGAAAATTTCTGAATGACAAGAAAGCAAAGAGGGAGTGGGGTGTATGTGCGTATGTGGAGGGGTTGTTATTGTTCAGGGTGCCAGAGCTTCACTGTGCTGCCGGAGCACATCGGACAAACGTAGAGTCAAACTAAGGTTTAATTTCACACAGAATGTACTGCCCGTCGTGTCTTGGACTGAACTCTAAATGGGAGCTTGTTCACTATGGATCTGCTGCCAGGTATTTCACAACAGATTGTTTGGGATTCATTGGGATGCAGTCATTCTGAGGAGAACAGCAAGAATTATTATTATTTTTTTTCCTCTAGATTAACTCTGAGGTTGTGTGCCAGAAAAGCCTTTATTTCAGTGGCTCAGTTCCATTTGTCTGAAGCTGGTTTAGGTCTTATTTCTAGAAAGTTTTGGGTTTGAATTCTTTGGATTTATGTGAAAGGAAGCAGTTTTATATTGAGTTCTGTTTCAGGTAAGCTAGCAGTGTGTAACTGGGTCCTTTGTCGGCATGGCAATATAAACATTGGCTCCATTCAGCTTGTTTGAAACTTTGTTAAGCAAAGAGTCTAATTGTTTACTCTCATTATAAGGCATATTAATAATAAGGAAATATGATAAAAATATTATAAAAAAAAGATGTTCACGAATTCTTTTCTCTTTTTGAAATATAAGAAATCAGATTTAAAACTCAAGATTTAAATCTTACCCTTTGGAGGGAAATTGCATAAATTTCACAATTTTATTACAATTTTATTTTTCAATAATCATAGATGTTGAGGCTTTTGTAGAGAACATGTTACCTTTACAGACCACTACCATGGTGTGCATTCAAAGAATGGAAGACAAGAGATTTAATTGATATATAATTGCTTATCCATGATTTACTGAAATGTACAGATACTGAAGTGGTGATGCTAAATGAATCGGTGCACTGGTACAAAATAATTAATTGGGAAAAGTGGAATTCTAATTAGTTTGCAAATTTTGGTATATGTACCGACATTTCTGTTTGTCTCAAATGGCTTTCCTTTTTAGATTGTGCGTAATATTAACAGGCTTCCCACATGGTTGGATTGTATTTTTTTTAAGGGCAAGTATGTCCTTCAGTGCTTGAAGTAATTTGCTTTATATCCCCATAAGGGTTTGTGTCGCAGCACCAGTTCTGTTCTGTTTTTTTTTGTTTTGTTTTTTATTTTAATCTTTGCAAAAGAGCTTAAAAATGTTGTGCCTGCAAAGGCAGTGGGTATGTAATTATCGGAAAACCCTACATTTCCCACTTTGTCCTTAACTTCAGTAAATATAAGCAACTTTATCAAGGATTTTGTAATAAAACCATGCCCAGAAACTTGCAAATTTGAAATGTTTAGCAGAGATCCATTCCTGTAGTCTAATGTGTTCCGATAGTCTCTACAGTTTAACAAAATTTAATTTACCTTTTCACAAGGATGCATTTTCTTTTAATTAAATTGAGTTAACTTTTTTTAATTCTCTGCGCACAATGATAGAAATAAAATAAAAGGAACTCTTTTTCTGCTCTTCGTGACAGTGAGGGTACTGATCATGATGTAACGTACATGTTTTCTTCTTTTTTTATCTTCAGGATTTTTGTCAATAGAAGCTTGGCAATGGAGAAAATCAAATGCTTCGGCTTTGACATGGATTACACTTTAGCAGGTGAGTTAAAAAAGACATTGACCTACTAATTTTCTTTACAGGAACAGTTTTGAAAAAGTAACATTTGTGATGAACTAAGAACATGAACTGAAAATTTGCAATTTAAAGCCAACTATTTCTATATACTGATCTTATTATTGCTGTGTTGAGTAATATTTTAAAGTTTATTAAACTGTAAATGTAGTTTTTATACTTTAAACCTTAATATTCCCACGTATACATATTAAAGGGACCATATAAAAATTGACTTTTTTGCCTCTTTTATGATTCAGGGAGGTGTCAGAGTTGAATATTTTATCAACTCTGTAAGTAAAGTTTGATCTAAATGTTTCCTGTGACGTCCAATTAGTGCCTTTTTGTCTCCTTAATCTTTTACTATTTTCCAGTCGTCGACTGCTGATTATTGTGATGCTTTAACTTTACAAAAGTTCTCATCAAATGTTAAATGTATTTACCTGGATGCCAAAGCCAGTGAGAATATTTTCTGGGTCAAATGTCTCTCTATTTGCCCGTTCTCTTTGTTCTCCGACTCGGCTCCAGTTTTTGGTCTCCACACGTCTAAAAATAAATCTTCACCGACTTTGAAAAGCGGGTCACATTTGTTTGTCAGGTTGAGCAGCGGTGGCTCCCCCGATGTAGGGATTTACTTTCAGTTCCTGTGAGGCTCTGCTGGCTTCATCCTCCTTCCAATAGCAGGAGATTTTCCAGATGCTCAGCTGTTGACATGACTCAGTTTATAGGAGCTTGTAACCAAGTGTTAATGTTTGCTAGAAGTGTGGCTATCGTGTATCTTTGGACAGTTTTCAAGTTTTCATCACTGAAGTGCCTCATCGGTTTCACTCAATACCTGCTGCTTAATGTCGGCACCCCTGACGACTACTGCTAAGGGTTTTTTTTTAGAAGCTGTTCACATGCGTGTCGTCTTTTTAACAAGAAATTGAGATCCGGTGTTCACAACGTGCATCAACAATGCTGTCAGAGGAAGCAGAAAGGAAAGATAAGGTTATAGGTAGCAAACGGCTCTGATGACTGGGATGCAATAATTTTATTTATTACAGTGTGCTGTGAAATTGCCCCTTTTAAAGATTTTTTTTTTTTTCCCGATTTTTCATTCTTAAATGTTTCAGATCTTTTTGCTATGCAATAAAGATAGCCTTAGTAATTAATAAAGCAGATTTCCAATCATGATTTAATTGTCACAGTTTCAAAAAAGTGTTCAGGTCAACTTAGCCCACTAAGCTAAGGAGTGTTTGTGTTCTCCATATCGGTAAACCTTTCATTTATGTGTTTATTACACCTGGAAATCTTCTTAAACATCCAGGTGCCCCTCTTTGCAGAATTGATTTTATCCAGTTTTTTGTTTAGAGGTGGACTTTCTGGTTCATTTTGAATCAAAGTTCTGGTACATAATCTAGAGCCTAACTAATAATGTTCTTTTTCTGAAAAGTTGACACCTTCCAGGACTTTGCTTCCTTATTTCAGGGCACAATGTACTGAGTGTTCGAGATCTTTGAACTTCTTTCATGTCGTCAGACGGGTTCCATTTTGGGGATTTTCTTGTTTTTCTGGCTGAGCATTTCCAATTGAAAGCAGTTTCAGTCAAATATGCAGAACATTGGGTTGAGTGATGTGGCTTAACTCCATTTAATCATCCAAATACAATTAATAAATCTTTCTCTTTTTTTTTTTTTGAGTTTCATAATAAAAAGATATAAATGACATTGCTTTAACAAACTTTTTTATTTCAATCATCCACTATGACGGTGACCTAATTTAGCAGCTCAGGTTCTACAGCAGGAAAATTTATTTATTTTTTAATCCACATCCTGCAGTTGCAGCCGAGAGGGAGAACCTTATTTTTCAGTCATCACTAATTCTAATTTAAATCAAAATCATGACTAGAAATTTATCACGATAACTATAAACTATAAGATAATGTTAACCAGTCGTCAAATGTATCCACCATACATATTTGAATTATGACTACCACTAGCAAAGATGCACAGCAGGTCTCTGACAGAAACTGCTAAAGTGAGAGCAGAGGGATGTCTGGAGGTGAAGTGAACCAAAGGTAAGCTATATCTGCGGCTTGAGGCATGTTCCTCTGGTGAGTTTCAGTACCGCCGGACCCACAGCAGAGGGGAAGATTCAGGCTCCATATTTCTCTGTCCTTATCTGTAGCACAGGGACATTTTATATTCCTTTACTGGAGCAGTTTAAACTAAGCCAATCCACTGCTGAAAGGACAATTGGAAACAAAAAATATTAGAAAAGTTTCATGTAACTTTAATATCAAGTCTGGATATTTATGCACAAACAGTCCTTTTCTTATGCCTTGGCCACAAGTTGATAGCTGGAGAGTTGATTTTAGGGGCCTCTCCTCTATCAATAGTTTCCATGACAACTGACTCAGGTGGGCCTGATTGTGGCGACTGTGATTATGTGTTGCCCTGCATACATTTGTTTGTTTCCTATTATGAGGCTGTTAATGATCAAATATACTAAATCTGAATATTCCTGTGGAGGTGTCATTAAACCTCTACATAGTTTATTTAGTATTTAAATGATTTCTGAAATAGTTGATTTTATATTTCATTCATTTTTATCTAAATCCTGTCTTTTTAATTGCTCCGTTACCCTGAGAAATTTGCTCAGCAACAGAAAGAGGAAAAATTTGTGATCTCTCCAGTTAACCCCTTTTAAACGTCACATATTTTGTAATACTTTCCAAGCTAAATCAATATCAGACCGGTCAACCTAGCTTTATCTGTCCTGCCGTTCCTAAAGGGAACAAGTCAATGAATGCGGCAAAAGTTGCAGCAACCTATTTAGACCTAGATTACATTGAGATGCTATCAGTTTTGTCCTAGTTTTCCAGCAGACTTTGGGCTTAATGTCAGCCCCCGAGGCAGTGCTGGAGTCCTCGTATTTTTCCACATTGTGCCTCACCCTGTCCTTATTCTAAAGCAAAGCCGTTCATTTGTGCAGTGATGGAAACTGATAAATTAAGACCCATATTGTTAGCTCCTTAATATAGACTGCTATGTGACATGGTTCAGTCAATGTGTCCCCGTTATAGAGCGTTGGATTATGTGATCTGTTAGAAGAGCAATGCCGGTTGTTTGCTTTCTGTGTGAAGGGTGTACGTTACATCCAGGCATGAGCTGACCTGGCCTATGAACCGCTCAGCAATAGGAGCACTGGGAGTATAATTATCTGCCAATAATCCCATCAAGGATGCGAGCGGGCATATTCATGAAGCTGATTCTGAGTATCTAATGACAACAGGAGCAATGTGAGCAGAGGGCCACATCTGGAGATTGCAGAAATGCACGAATGTCAAGGAACAGTGATATAGCAGCTCTCTACACCTACATTATGCAACAGTCAGCTTCCACTAGGATGACACAATGTTTTTGCTGGATACGTTATTTAAAGAAATCTGAAACGTTCTGTCAACATATTCTCAGCTCAGGATGTAACGATAGCGGCTCTATTAATCACTCAGCACTTCGGCCTCTAAAGGTCTGAAATAGCATTTGTTGACTTGAGTTACTGTGCTCTGTGGTTTGAATAGTTTTGAAGATGGGTATGTGACCTAATTCAATTGGACAACCCCCCCTAATTAAATACGAAATAGCAAAACAATACTGTTTGCAACTGGTTGATTCATTCATCAAAGGAAAAGGCAATCCAAAATAACCTGTTTCCATATGAAAATCTTTTTTACCCAAAACCTAATAATACGGTTTATTCCATCCTCGGAAGCAACTGTCATCAAGTGTTTATGAAGGCTGCCAACAAGTTCTTTTTCCATTACTGCTGAGGAATTTTGGGCCTCTTTTCTTTGGAGGCTCCTTTAAATAGAAACTTTTGCTGAGTTTCAAGCTTGGATTTTGTCAAAACAAAAATGGTGTTATTGTAGATGGCCTGTCCAGTTTAGCTTAGCACACTTGGTGAAACATCAGCTTAATAGTGAACTAAATGCAGAAAGTTATGAGAGCATAGGTGACTGAGGGGAAAACGACTCTCAAAATAGATTTTTCTTCTACCTCAGATGTTCAAGATTATGACAAGGGAGCAAGGAGGAGTGGACTGGGATGTTGGCTGCCTCTCTGGGCATTGAGCCCAAACCCTCAGTTTACTGTGAGAAAAACATTTGGAGGAGGAGGGGGGGCTGGATTGCGACACTCTGCAAGTTTATAATGCAGAAACTGGCCAGTCTTTGCAGAGATTTTTGCAAAATTCATAAATTAAACCAGTTGTCCTGCACATTGGTTCATTTTTACACATGCATGCTTTCTACAGAACCCTGCAGATGTTTTCCTGCGGTTCTGTTCTGTCCCCTTAAGAGCCATCCACCAGTTCACCTCCCCAAAGTCTTCCCCGCACCCCACTGGGAGCACAGAAACTAGGCGACAACACAGAGTGCATTCTTACTCGCGTATTTATAACATCTGACAAGTTCTTTTTTTCGCACCAGCCTCAGAAAGCATTTTAGTCTTGCACCGGCCTTTTCTTAGCCCATGTTTATATTTCCAGAGTCTGGGTTAAATATGGATTACGGGCAAGCAGGAGGCTCAGTGGTCTCCCCAGAGCTCAAATTTAACTTTAAAGCTTTATTATTCACACAACTGATCATTTTTCTTTATGGAGTTGGGCGTTACATGGTGGAAGTGGCAAAAGAGGCAATAGTTGGGCAACTACAGAGGGAGACAATGTTAGCAAAATATTGATACCAGAGTTGGTTCTAAGTGAATAAGTATAACCTGGAAACATTACATTTACAAAAGTGAGTAAGATACTTTTTACTGTATAGATCAGTATGGGGGGGACGGGTTTTTTTTTAACTCCAGTGGTGGTAGGTTCATGTCAACTGGGTGTACAGGGGTCATGGGAAGCAATGACGCAGAAGCCTTGCTTCATACTACACGAGCTACAACTAATGTGTGGGAATTTTTAGCCCAGCAAAGCTTTGGCCATGCTCAAGATTTTTTTTACAACATTTATCTGGTTTTTCCTGGCTTTTTTCTCCCCCACCAAGAGGTTAATGACTAAACACAGCTGAAATGATGGGGAATCTGTATTTTACCACAACTTTTAGCCATGGTCAGGATCTTCTTTTAAAGTTTGTTCTTCTTGAGACCATCCTTCTGGTGTAGCATAGTTTGTGCAGCATTTGTTGGTTTATATAGACTTGATTGGACTTTATCAAAGTCCAAACGACTACAAATCCTGGCCGGATTGTTAAATGTGTTTTTTGTAACTGATCTGCAAAATGAAACGCAATAACAATGCAAGACAGTAAACCCATGTTAACATGAAGGTTTGCATTTTACAGCAACGTAACTAAAACACTTAATAGCTTAATAGAAATAAAATTGAAACATGAATGGATCTTACTGAGAGCAGGTTTGACACAAATGTTCCTCTTTTTATGTAATAAGAATGCATGTTTGGTCAAATATATTGAAACAAGTTTAAGTGTTTGTGTGTTTTAATATCCAGTCTACAAGTCGCCTGAGTACGAGGCGCTGGGCTTTGAGCTGACGGTGGAGCGGCTTGTGTCCATCGGTTATCCCCAAGAGCTGCTCAGCTTCGTCTACGATCCATCATTTCCCACCAGGTGAGAACAACCTCAAATGTTTCATTAGCTTTTGGGGTTAATGGCAAAGTTTTTTTTTCTTTCCGGCTCATCCATTTCACTTTTTAGCCTCTGAATCTCTGAATGGGTTGTAAGATAAACCTGAGAATTAGGGTTTAAAACAAAAAACTAAATATGAAGTCAGTCGGACGGCTTCGTCTAACTCTGTGCGGTCTGAAGTATCAGTAGTCCTTCAGATTAATTCACATTTTGCCACATTATAACAAAAACATGTAAATGTTTTACTTTAATTTGAGATAGATACTCAAAGTAGCTCATGATTGAGAAATGGAAGTAAAATCATAAATAGTTTTCTACAAATATAAATGTTCACAATTATTTACTACTGTTTGTTGGTCTATCATTAAAAAACATTGTTATAAAGTTCCTTAAAACTTTTGACTCCAAAGCCAGAAATGTAGAAACAAGTTAAAGCAATGTGAATGATTTTGGATTTGTAATGTATTTAATGAGCCTTTATGGAAAATAAGTAGGTAAACACCCCTTAAAAAAAAAAAAACGCACACACAAAAAAGGTTCGTAAGGAGTTTTCAAACAAGTAGAAAATCCATTTAAAAACACATGATGACTGATAGAATCACAAGAATCATGTGAGAGAAAAATCCCATTAAACTTAAACATGAGTCGACGTTTTAACAAAGAATGTCAAACGATTTCCAGACGTCATCACACACCTTATCTTTTTCAAATTTCTAATCCCATAGAATGTTGAGTAATGTGATGCTGTGGGCGGGGAAGCTTCTTTGCATTTTGAGAGGATAACAATGAGCCAAAAAGGTTGAAAGGCAGTACCTCTGTGGGAGGATTTTAATATAATTTTCCTCTTCTTTTCAGAGGCCTTGTGTTTGATACCATGTATGGAAACTTGCTGAAGGTTGACGCTTATGGTAATATCCTGGTTTGTGCCCATGGATTTAATTTCTTTCGAGGGTAAGCTGGTTTTGATGCTCTTCGTTTAAAATCTCTATTTCAGTTACAAAAAATAGGATTGTGAGCTTTCTCTTCTCTCCTTGTACCCCTTCCAGCCCTGATATACGTGAACGATATTCGAACAAGTTTATCCAGCGGGATGACACAGAGCGTTTTTATATCCTTAACACACTCTTCAACCTTCCAGGTGAGGGTCAAGGAAACTGTCCCCAGATTATTTCTCATCCTAAAAACTCGGCCTCACCTAATTTTCTTCTTTTTTTTTTTTTTAAAGAAACCTACCTTTTTGCTTGTCTTGTGGATTTTTTCTCAAACTGTGACAGATACACAAGGTAAGAAACTTCCTTTTAGATTACATCTCATGTAACAGCACAAGTTCTGCATGTTGACATAAAGACATTTGCAAGCCACTCAGGGGGAAAAGCAACTGCCCTAAAGCATGGGAGCGTCCTGGTGTCCTAAAGGCTAATATCAGCTTATTCCAATTAAAGGCTAATCCCCTTGGACTTCAGTCAGACCTGTTTATTCTTAATAGAATTACAACATTAATATCAGATGATAAACAAGCATGGATCCTTTAAAAGATTAATAGCAGTTAAAGGAAATCTTACTAACTGTCCACATAAAATAAAGCAAAATAATCTTCAATAATCATTTTTTTATCCCTTCTGTAAAAGAGGATTAATGGCCTGTAATTTATCTTTAATTTTTTTGTGGATGTAATCTGGAATGGCTGCATGTCCTTTGTCCTCTGAAACCTGGTTGTTGGTCTTTTAGGGGGAGATTGCTTTCCTGTTTGGCTGGGGACCCTCCAACAAGGGAAGGCTATCCCATTTAAAAGCAAACAAAAAGAAACAAATGTAATGTTTTCAAAGACCCTCTGTAAATATATGGCCTGTCCGACGGCTGTGCGCGTGTCTCTCTCTCCTCCATTTTCCCAGCTGTGAATCGGGCTTTAAAAATGGTGACCTCTTCATGTCCTACAAGAGCATGTTCCAGGACGTCCGGGACGCGGTGGACTGGGTTCACTTCAAGGTAAAACCAAAACAACTGCAGTTTGTTCTTGTTGTTGTTGTTGTGATTTTTTTCTCTCACATAAATCATACCTGAAGTTAATATGATCGTTTTTATTCTATTTGAATAAACACGATCATAGAAGGTCTTTAGGGTTATTTAAGTAAATTTGAACTCTATATAAAGATTTCTGTAGATGCCTTAGAAAAGTTATTTTCATCCTGTTAACCCTTTACTATCTTGTATGTCGATTTGAAGGAGCTCCTTTTTTATCTGTTAAACCAGGTATTGATGAATAAGTATCGAAGTCTTCATATATGATCTGATGAGAAATGGTCAATGAAAAGAAAACTACTGATCAAAATAGGATTTCATAATAGTCTCATTGTGAAAAGTAGCAGAAATAAGAGGATTTGTAGCCTAGTAAACGAGCCCCACCCGCCAGCGGCCAAAATAATTTTTGCCTACGAGTTGATGGATAACACCTTTGATCTCCCATTTAGTCTGGTTTATCAGGCTAGAGGATTTGTCTTATCTAAATAAATGGCCAAGAATGTGTTGGTGCATCAAAAATACACATTCAAAAAAATTTTTAGCAAATATTCTCAGTGTGTTTTTCCATTATTAAAACTAACCAGATAACACTCAAAGGTATAGTGCAGGATTTTTTGTGAAATTTCTATCCACTCTTTTAAAAAAAGAAAAAAAGAAAATGCAGATGCACAACACTGTACCCACTCCTGAGAGGGAACACCTATTAAAAGTGTGTGAGAGCTCTGTTTAAAAGTTGCTGTGTGCATCACTCATACAAGCTTACTTTCCAAAAGAAGTTTTGCTATTTTTCCACTATGTCAGGCTCACCACCGGTAAGTGAAAATGGGGACGAGCACTTAGGACGGACTTATATAAACCTATCACCAGAATGGTAAACAATTAGGAGGACCACTTATTTAGATGATCCACCCTGAAAAAGAACATCCTCCACTTTACCTTAAGTGTTGTATTCTATGACAGCACTTGAACTTCTCAGCTGTTTATGCAGAGTAGCGAAGGATGTTTAACGTACCGTTTACAGTTATAGTGATACATTTCTTTTCACAATAAAAATGTTTTATTTTTATTTTATTTTGTCTTAAAGATAATTCAAATAATGAATGTATCCATAAAACAGACTTTATTTTTTTTTTCTTCGGTGGGGGGTTGAGAAATGTAAAGATTATGCTTAAATGTGGTCATTGTGGGATGTCTAGTACGGAGCCCCTCTGGTGACTTGGGCAGAAATTTTTTTTGAAGATGTTAAGTTGTGGCCACAACTTACTAAGTTGTGGCCAAAACTTACTAAGTCGTGGCCACAACTTAGTAAGGCGTAGCCAAGAGATAGATAAGTCGTGGCCTAAACTTACCATCACTGGACTTTCGCTTAGTTTTTCTTTAAACATTTTGACACCCATCAGAGAGTCTGCTGGTAGACCTGGATGACCGAGAATTTGCACAGATAGTTAATTCAGATAAATCTCTTCAGGTGCTTAAAAAAAGTAAACAGAACTGCCCAGATTCACCTATGGATCCTTAGCAGCTCCCCCCCAGAGGTTCAAATTCACATTTGTACAATCACCTGAATCAACAGAATTCACATCTCATCTACTTGATGAGATGTGTTTCTTTGATTTATTTATTTATTTATTTTTTTTAGTTATCGTCACTTGTAGTTGTGTCTAATTTGTGTCCTATGTTTTCTTTGCAGGGAACCCTGAAGGAGAAAACGGTAGAGAACCTGGAGAAGTATGTGGTGAAAGATGTGAGTATTTTGTACTCGGCACATATCCTCTGGTTAGAGAGAACACATTTTGTCTCTCATTCTTTGTGAAGATAACTAAGCTTCTTTCCTCTTCTTTTTCCCATCAGGGGAAACTCCCACTTCTCCTGAGCCGAATGAATGAAGTAGCCAAAGTTTTCCTGGCTACTAACAGCGACTACAAATACACAGATGTTAGTACAGACCGACTGTCAACTTTTTAGGCAAACACAAAAAGATGAATGACAAAAAATTTTTAAATTGTAATGTTTTTTTTTTTTTTTAATCTCTTTTGTCACAGAAAATTATGAGTTACCTGTTTGACTTCCCTCATGGCCCCAAGGTGAGATCATTTAGATGAAGTTGCAGATAAACCGTGAAAACGGAAAACATTATTGCACCTTTATGTGTAACTCTTTACTTTTGCTCTTTTGGATTCTTACCTTCTTTAGCCTGGTACTTCTCACCGGCCCTGGCAGTCTTACTTTGACTTGATCTTGGTGGATGCCAGAAAGCCTCTCTTCTTCGGGGAGGGAACCGTCCTCCGACAGGTCGACACGGTGAGCAGGACAGAAACTCTTTTGGTTGCTGTTGTGTGTGAGATTTTGAAAGTTAAAGCCATGCCATATTACTTCCTCAGAGTTTGGATGATTCAGCAGGTTTAATTGAATAGATTTAAAACATTTTGGTCAAAATGTGAGAGAAATCTGTGCAGCCATTAAATATGAAAGTACAAACTGCTTTCAAGCTGGTGATAGTCAATTTACAGATACACTTTCAGTTATTTCTGCTATTTTTATTTCATTTATTTTTTTTAATCCAGACCACAGGACGCTTAAAGATAGGCACCTACACAGGACCTCTGCAGCATGGGATCGTGTACTCGGGAGGTGAGCCTTACACCCCTTCACTTTTTCAGTTTTACTTCTTTTTCCCTTATTTTTTTTTTTTTTTACAATAAAAGCAATCCTTCTATGTAACTAATGAGAATATATTTACTCCAAGGCTCCTCAGACATTGTGTGTGACCTTCTGGGGGCCAAAGGGAAGGACATTTTGTACATCGGGGACCATATATTTGGAGACATCCTCAAGTCTAAGAAGCGTCAGGGATGGAGAACGTTCCTGGTTATCCCAGAGCTGGCTCAGGAGCTGCACGTGTGGACCGACAAAAGCTGTGAGTCTGAAGACAAACATTGACAAAACTCTGATGAAAAAGAAAAGTCCATATTCAGCTATTTTTTTCTCAAGTTTTGTCCTCGGTACCATGAAAACCTAAATATACCGTATTTTCACGACTATAAGGGGCACTTAAACGTCTTTTTTTTTCCTCAAAATGTGCGGTGCGCCCTATGGTGCGGTGCGCCCTATGTGTGTTGTAACTGCGACTTTTGAGACCATCTCATTGAGGAGATGATGAAAGAGTGGCTGAATGTAAGGAGACCAGGTGTTTTTTTTCCACTCATCATCATCGCTGTTAATATGTAACTCCATGCGTGCCCATCTCACAGCTGATGTGAAAAACATGGGGAAACAAATTAACGCTGTGCTCGCTGTTCAACCGCTCGACATCGGTGTGAACCGGACCCAGCAGGTGCAGCAGAAGCAGCGAGTTTACATGCAAAGTCAATGGTTGACGCGCGTATAGGCGCAGCAAAAGGTCCCGAGCGCGTTTTGAGCTGCAGGTGCAGCACGTCGGGAGCGTTTAAGCATCTGACGCACCGCCAACGCGCTGCTGCTGCTCGAGATGGAAAAAATTGAAGTTTTGCTGCTGGACGCGCCGCATCAACAAATCAGAGAAGCTGATCTGGGAGCTGACAGCGAGACAGACACAGTGCTCTGATGACATATGATATTAACGCAAATGAAACGGGCTGGATGGATGAGGAGATGATGAAAGACAGGTGTATGTGAGGAGACCAGGTGCTTTTTTCCACGCATCACCATCGCTGCGTGCCCATCTCACAGCCGATGTGAAAAAAAAAGGTGAATCAAATGAACGCTGTGCTCGCCGTTATCCCGGGGGGTCTGACAAAGGAACTTCAACCGCTCGACATCGGTGTGAAGCGGCCGTTCACAGTAAGGCTGCGAGCGGCGTGGGAGCGATGGATGACAGACGGAGACCACAGTTTCAGGATAAGTGGAAGGCAGCGCCGGGCAGATTACGCCACCGTTTGCGGATGGATTGTTGATGCTTGGACTAACGTGTCTGCTGGCTCTGTTGTTCAAGCTTTCGCAAAAGCCGGCATTATTTCTGAGGAGCTGCGCTGCACGGAAAGTGACTCTGACAGCGAAGAAGGGGAAATTGGCATGTCTGATTTAGCACAGCTGTTTAATTCAGAAACAGAGGATGATGACTTTGATGGGTTTGATTAATACTTTGTGATAAATACATGAATAAAGCACAAACATACTCAGTTTTGCTCCCGCTCTATTTTTCTACCTGAAAACTTAATTCAACAGCAGCCTCTGGGCCGGGTCTCCTCCTCTTCAGCGCGGTGGCTGGCAGGTGTTTTTTCATCTAAATAATCTAAATCTTGCAGCTATATTTGCTGTGATCAGGGGGAATAAAGTAGTTTTAATATGTTTTTAAGTGAGAAAGTCCACCTGAAAACTTAATAATTGCAGTCAGTTCATCCAGATTATCTATTTCTGTCGGAGCCGCTCAGACCCCCACATACCAGCGGTGCACCGACAGCAGAAATCCCTTCAACAGCAGCCTCACCGCGGCGGCTGGCAGGTGTTTTTCATCTAAATAATTTACAGTGCAGGCACCAGGATACCGGCAATAAAAGCGAACATATTCCGTCGGCAGGTTTCAGGATTTTAAGTTAATTTAGGAGTGATCACAGCGCTGTGTCATCTGCGATGTGTCTGTCTCATGGCCAGCTCGCAGGTTTGATTAATACTTTGTAATAAATACATGAATAAAGTCAGTCATACTCAGTTTTGGGCCCGCTGTATTTTTAAAATACGCAGTAGAGCTATTTAAAGGTAGTAGAGGACATGTACCTGTATATAAAAAATGCGCCCTATAGTCCGGTGCGCCTTATGTGTGTGTTAAATACAGAAATGGGACACATAATTGAGACTGCGCCTTTTAGTACGGTGCGCCTTATGGTCGTGAAAATACGGTAATATACAATCTGGCTTGTGTAACACAACTGAAGTGCCAAGATACCTGTGCATCCTGAAAACAACCAGAGGTTTCAGCGGCTTTTTGTCAACACAAGACTCAGACAACCCAGAAAGTTTTAGATGTTAGAAATCTACTTTACACTGATCATTGATCCTTAGAACCAAAGATGTCTTTTCTGTATTCATAAAACTTGCTCCAAAGTAGAAAACTGTATGTAGGCACTTATTAGCGCTAAGTAAAAAAAGTTAATAATGTTGTTCCTGAAGCTTTTACGTTTCATCTTAATTAATTCAAACATGGCTGGGAAAAATACAAATAAGCAGTTACAGATTTGACAATGGTCTGTGGCTGAAACGTTGCATAATAAAGGTTTAACAGAGTGTAGTAGTGCCCCCTCCTTTTTATTCTATTTTTTTTCCTCCCACCTGTTCATGTTCTGTTCAAGATGTGTGGAGTTTGTTTAGATCACAGATAAATATTCAGATTTACTTGTAGTATATTTAAAGTTACCAATTTAAAGTGATTTTAGGGAAATAAACTACAATTGTGTATAGACAGAAACTTGGTATTGTAAATGGGAGAAAAATGATCGAATATGTATGAAAGGATTGGTGCCAGTTTAAGAGTTATTTCTTCTGGCAATTTAATGGTGTGATTTTATTTTTATGGGAAGAGTTTGAACTTTAAAGGGTTTTTATGTGGACATTTTAGAAAACCTGAAAAATAACGATGCTTTTATAAAAGAAGATGTTAACCTTTCATATATACCCAGGCCAGCTGACAGCTTTACTAGCCTGCTTCTGTGTCTTAAGGACCAAACTTAAGGAGATAGCATTATTTGGGTTTCTTTGTTTTTCCAGGCTTTTTGTTCATCTTAATTAACCCTTAATGTCATAACAAAAAACTCTTTATATTGTAAAGTGTTTAATAAACTCAAAAGAAAGCCACATGTGAAGCCTAAATTAATTATTTCTAATGGAGTAGATGCATAGAGAAAGAAACTGAAGGAGCATCAGGTTTCCTTCTGCATTTGCTGTGCATTGTCTCCAGTTTAGAGGCCATGTTGTTTTTTGTTTTATTATATCAATATATTAAGAATATATTTATATAATATAATAATATACATTAACAATATTAAGGAATAGATGATGAAGTTTCCATTAAAAGACTACTGATTACATGAAAACAGGATGATGTGGCTAAAGCGGAAGGGCTGACACTGGAAATGAAAAATTGACCCCTCATTTCGCTCTTTGATGTTTTCCAGCACTATTCGAGGAACTTCAGGGCTTGGACATTTTCTTGGCAGAGCTTTACAAGTAAGAGCTTCCCCCTTTTGGACTGATTTCCTCCCCCTCCTCTCTTTTCGCCGTCCCACTCCTCTTGTCCTGACATCATCGACTCTGCTGTACTTTGCTCCCTGCTGCCTGTTTGAAGGCATGCAGGCTGAAAGAACAACAGGGTCAATAGGGTGAAGTCTGGAGGGGTCGCCTCATGCAGGCCACCCGATAACTGGATTCACTGAAAGTGTATTTATAGCCTGCCACAGCTCGCTGTTACACCACCTCTTTGACTTCCTACATTTTAGATAACTGATATGTGTGTCCTCCCCATCCCTTCAGCCTGTCCTGATCATCCCCCCCCCCCTTCGTCTTTCCGCAGACATCTGGACAGCAGCAGCAACGAGAGGCCTGATATCAGCACCATTCAGAGAAGAGTCAAGGTACAGCCTCTGTCACTGTTTATCCCGCACCTGTTCCCTTGCCTTTACCGCTATCTGGACCTACAGCCTGTTTGGAGAGTTTTACGGCATCTGAGATTAAAAGCCCCCCATCTCATTGACACTCCACGCAGCTATATATATATATTTTTAGTTTGACTAATTTCTTTGATTCTTATATTAGTAAAGCATTTCTGTTTCTCTCAACTTTCCTCACTCAGAAAGTCACGCATGACATGGACATGTGCTACGGCATGATGGGTAGCCTTTTCCGCAGCGGCTCCAGACAGACTCTCTTTGCCTCCCAGGTGATGCGTTACGCTGACCTGTATGCCGCCTCCTTCATCAACCTGCTGTATTACCCCTTCAGCTACCTGTTCAGAGCCGCACACGTCCTGGTGAGTTTATCACCATCAGAGGAGGATTTAAGGATTTGTCTTGACATTTTTAGGTTTTGTCATCTGTACCAATAGCAATAAGCTGCAACAACTTTTATTTTACAGTGACGCTTCTTATTAGTTTTTGATTTCTTCTTTATTTCCACAAGGTTCTTATTTTATTCTGCACAGCTTTGACCAAATTAAATCACCAATGGATAATATGTGATGAGAAGATAACATAGGGCTGTGTTGTTAAAGTTGGTATTTTATTTACTCTGCTCCATCCTTAGACACTACATTCAATAGAAAAACTGTTTTGATTAGTTAAATATCTTCCGCTATGTGGACATTTTATGAAAATATATCAAATACCGTATATTCTGGACTATAGAGTGCAACTCACTATAAGCCCATTAAATGTTTTGGAAAAACTGTAAACCTATACATATATAGGGACGAAAAAGAATGCTAGCTCATGTTAACTTGTTAGTTCGCAGCAGTAAGAGCTTCTACTGAAAGATCGGGTTTCTTTAGCTCTTTATTTCAGGTGTTGAGATCAGACTTTTTATTGGTTCGGCAGCTTTAATGCAGCAAATAAATGTCAAATGTTTGAATTCAGGACATTGGTATTCTGTTGTGCCTGCTGCTAGCATGTTTAACAGCATAACAGTGAAAATTAATCCCATGTTGTCTAATAATTCTACCTGTTGGGAGCATATATATAGTAAAGAGAAATGGTCATAGCACTGATCATTGAGGTAACTGAAATCGATCAGATAAACAAGATTTAAACCAGTCTAGAGCTGTTCATTTAATTACTACAAAATATTCAAGTCTTTCTAAAATAATGTTGATATGATCAACTGTATCAAATGCAGCACTGAGATCTAAGCAGACAATTACAGATACAAGTCCATTATCTGAGGCCATGAGAGTATTATTAGCGACTTTCACCACAGCTGTTTCAGTGCTATGATGAGCTCTAAAGCCAGACTGAAACTCTTCAAAAAGTTCATTATGGTGTAACCTGAATAATAAGACTACTTTACTAATACTACTATACTGGTGTTTATTAACTTGTATTACTGCTATTATTAATTTCTAGTTATTACATTTATTTTTCATCAGACTGGTGAAATAAAAACTGTCCAGTTTCCATTAACTATATATGTGTGTCTGATGTTCCTAAGATGCCTCATGAGTCGACGGTTGAACACGCCCACGTGGACATCGACCTGGAGTCGCCCCTGGCCACTCGTAACCGCTCCCAGTGCAACGATTGCAAGGACCTGGAGTGCAAACGCAATCACCTGACCCGCTCCTTCAGTGAGATCAAGCCTCCCAACCTCTTCCCCCAGACTCCTCAGGAGATCACCCACTGCCACGACGAGGACGACGATGAGGAGGAGGAGGAAGAGTAATGAAACATCCTGCAGAGTTGAGCCACGTTCCTGTTCCTGTCGCCTTATGTTTCCTGTAGAGTGGAGTCGGGATCTCTCTCCGAGGCGGGAAACGCCTCCTCAATGCGTGTGTTTGTTTGTGTGCTCATATTTACAGTAAATATACATCAATGCACACGAACAGATTAACGCACACATGTGGGAGAAGAATATCACGCATGCTCGGCTCTCTAAAACAAAAAACGCCACCCTGAGTAATCTTCTCATCAGACGCTAATTTTTTATAGTAGTTTTGTAACCGAATCGTGTTTACGTTGTAACCCTGCAAATTCAGCTATACTGTAATTCTAACTATGAAACAAGCTACAGGGAACGCACTTTACCATCAATTGGAGCGCTCATCTGAGTGTTCAAAACAGACTTTTTCTGATGTTTGGGAACAATGGTCGGCTTTTTATCCACTTAATTCATTCTAACTCTTACTGAAGGGAATGTAGCATCCTGACAGGCATTAGGGGTCAGTTTTACTAAACCTCAGCAGCTCTGAAGCTAAAGCTGGTGTCGACACAGACCATTATGCATGGGCTCGAGTGGGGAGTGCTGAGGACAGAGTATTGTAGCTGCATTTTCTCCTTATTCTCTGTAAGAGCCCCGACATACTGTGGTGTTTATGTAACTAACCACGTGTCACGGTTGCATCCCAAGCAGGCTGACCTGCAGTATTTCATTTTAGCTCAGGCTTTTATGAAGATGAAACTTGAACATTGCATTACACTATAAAGAAGTAGAGCTGATTTGCTCGGTCTTTCATGGTGCCTAGACGTGGAGCTTTTCAGTGTGCAGAAGGTGTTGGCTTGTTTAGTGGTTTTAGGATGTTTTATTTCCACACGTATAAACTTCTAATCATTTCATAGGAGGAAATATACAGACTTTCTGATGACAGTATTTTTCTGTCTGCCTCTTAACACTGTGATTATTTTATTATAGGCTCGGTTCAGGCTGCGGTACCTATCTTTGATGATTAAAAAAAAACAAAACCCTTCTAATTTTTAATGATTTATTTAGAGTAGTATCAATGTATTAAGTCCCTGTGTTTAATCTTCGGTTAATTAAAATATACTGGAAAACAAGGTTTCAGATATTGTATAAATCCAATTTTAAAGTAAGGTTAGTGCTGATTCTTGATAGGACAACATTTTGCTGCTCCTCCTGTTTAGACTGAGCTGTACAACACAGCAGTGTCAGCATTTTAAAACACAGACCCACACTCTGCAGTGAGCTTTAAGCAGTCACTGCAGCAACCTAACTTCCCACAACACGCAGCTCCAAAAGCTGACAGACACCTACAAAATGTTCAGTCTTTAGTGATGTTGTTATTCCAACCACTTAATCTCTCGATTCTGTGATGCTGACTTCTGAAGGGAAGCATCTACTCTGGTATATTTTCCTGTAAACAAACAACTCCTAGTAGAGAATAAACAAGTAATTAAAACATGTGCTTTTAGTTTTTTAAAGCAGTAATCTTCTAACACCTTTACTTTTCAAATTTTGGTCAGATCACGTAAAGAAATTGGCTGTGATTGTGGTAAACCCTACAGCCACAGACAGGAACAGAGGTAAAAACAGAATTTACCAGGTGCTGATCTGGGTTTTTTTATTTGCTTTAAAATCACTAAACACACGTTATTAGAATATTTAACAGGTTCAAAGTGTTCATTTTTAGTTGAAGAGTTATCTATTAAGTTAAAATCAGGAAAAAAGCCAGTGACTCTGACCTCTAAGTAATGCCAAGGAAACAAGTTAATCTTGTTAAAACAACTCAGTACTAACATTTGAAGTAGAGAGATTAGAATCCCTCTTTTTTTCCCCACTGATTTTACTATAATTTCATTTATTATCACACAGTAATATATATGTTCAGCACTAGTAGGATAATGTGATGCTTTATGTTTTTAAAAAAGCAATAAAATCACATTACATTGTCTGTCCAAACTCCCAGTTACACATAGGGAGAAAGTGTTGGTGGGAAAAATAAGCTTTCAGGGGTTTAAACCTGGGTTTAACTCTGGTTTAAACTGGTTTTAGTGTTATTGTACTAAAAGAAAATTGAACTTCATTTTTTTTTTCTTCATTAATGCCGTTTTCTCAGCCTTTGTTGTAATTGTTGCCTGTCAAGAAAAGCAATAGAAAGTGCTGTGATATTTTTTTATTCTTTTCACTAATGTTTGGTTTGGCCTGGCTTTGGTTTAGAGAGAAGTGAATGTGTTTCAGCTTAATGTAACTCTACTTTGATGTTGTTGGCAAACATCTGAGCTTTTTTCTTACCAAAATCTTTTTATATTTTCCTGTTTTCTTTTTAAATTTTGCAGCTGTAGAAGCCTATAATGGCAGCTGCATAAACTGCATATTGATGCAGTTGATATCCAGTCATTTTCTCTGAAATTGAAACATGAAATTATTTTTTTTTTTTTTACCATGTCAGCATAGTTTACACACATGAAACACAGAAAGCCTGTACAGATAATCTTAAATTTGATAAAATATGGTTAGTATTGAAGTACATTAACTAATGCGTTAGTTGAGATTTTTCTAAGTACTTTTAAAATGGTCTCCGCTTACAAAACTGTAGATTTTTTTTTTTATTATTATTTTACTCAAAATAACATTTGTCTTTCTTTTTTAACCCTACTGCAGAGGTGTAACATTCAGTCCTTCCTAATAAAGCCTAATCAAGAGTTTTGCAGCCTACATTAGATTTTTATTCATTGTAGTGTTGCTAGGATACATTATAACAGCCTTCTCTCATTTAAAAAAAAACTCCATCTTTTGTTTTTCATGCATATCAGATGATGTTCCTCTAAGCAGTGTTTGTTTCCTGAAATCTTCCTTTTGGCTGTATGTTAAGATAATTATACGAAAATCTAAAATAAAGATAGTTTTTCATAATATTTGGTTCTAGTTTGGTTGATTGTTTGTTAAAATGATCAAATGTTCCGTACACATAAAGAAGATATGTAGGTGTTGTCTTAACCAATTTACATGTCACTTGTATGCCAGGTTAGCTGCACAGGGAAATGTTTAGTTTCCATTGACTAAAAATACAGGAATAAAGATTCCTGATTCCTTCATTGTTTACTCTTGCAACATTCAGAAAATTTAATTCTAATTCTAAACCGTATCTTCTATGTATTTCCTCCTGGTCAATCTTCTATTCATTGAAGTAATTTGTCCAGTGTGTGCAGAGCAGAAGCTTTTCTGACTCTGCCTTTATTTAAGCCGACTCAGCAGAACCTCTGCATTCCCCTAAGTCACAAGGCTGATCAAACATTAAGAATGACAAATGGCTTTATCGTTATTAAAATTTGACTCAATTGTTTTATCAGATGTAGCTCTAGAATCAGGGCTTTTCACCTTGAGACCTTGTAATAATACAACATATTACTAATTACAAGTTAAGTGAGTAGTAGTAAAAGATCAATTTAACCCCACTGTTAAAAGTGCTATTTGAAAGTGTTTTTATCTATTAAACATATTCCCATTTTATCGCATAATGACTACAAACTTCCAAGTATTTTATTAGGATTTTATGCTATGCGGTATTGTAAAAGCAGAGCAAAAAGAACACAGTTTTAAAGGCAGACACTTAACTGAATAATTTGAAGCTGACATTCCTACAGTACTTAAAATCAGAGATGGCAAAAGTACTCACTTTCCGTACTTGAGTAAAAGTACAGATACTTGTGTTAAAAAATACTCTGGTAAAAGTGGAAGAACTGATTAAACTTCTTTACTCTAGTAAAAGTACCAAAGTACAGGCTTGTAAATTTACTTAAAGTATAAAAGTAAAAGTAGAAACCATTTTTTTCATGCCGTTGCCTACATTTTAAATGGATGTCTGCCAATAGGACTAGATCTCCGTTGTGTTCATTTTCAATCATCTCGTCGTCCATACTACTATGCTAACGCCACCGCCACCAAGCTGCAATGATTTGCCGCGAATGAATACCGCCGAATCTGTCGATTCATCTTGTAGTGGTGCGGCAAATGCAACGTAGATTCCCATCCAATTAGATTGAATTTGGTATTGATGACGTGAAAAATAATAACGGTAACTCCATTGAAACGATTCAAAACTAAAGTAACAAGCCAATATTTTAAAATATAAGGAGTAGAAAGTACAGATATTTGTGTAAAAATTTAAGGAGTAGAAGTAAAAAGTCGCCATAAAAATAAGTAGTAAAGTAAAGTAAAAATATCAGAAAAATCTACTTGAGTACAGTAACAAAGTATTTGTACTTAGTTACTTCCCATCTCTACTTAAAATTCAGTGCAAACTGAAGTCCTGATAATTCATGTGATTATTAAACAGCTTTGTGATATTTAATCTCAGTTTGTTAGGGGACAAAAATTATGGTTGAGACCTCTTGACTAAACCTACTAAGACCAAACTAAACTAATGAGCTACTTTGTACACATAAGGAAAAGCAAATGAAAATAGTTGGAAACTATTTTCAGTGAAATAAAGCAATGACACCACAGTTTCACATAAATCTCATGTTTGAGAACCAATATTGATCGTAAAGAGTTTTGAATGAGGTAAAATTAGTATTTGATTAAGGTTTTAATTAGTGTTAAAACTCTTACTGAAATGAAATGTCTTAACTTTATGAACAGCAGCTCATAACATATTTGCATTTGGTTGCCTACCCTATAGTCAACATGAATTTTGTGGCTTACATTAACAGTTAAAAACATGGAAGAAATTAGAAATCACCCAAACTCCCAAATTGTTTCGCTCCAAATGCTTTCCCTAACCTTACCAGACCTGTAACCTCTGATTTCCATTTGAAAGGCTGAGGCGTCTCCTAAGTTCAGAAAAGCTTAGCCTTGGTCAGCAGCCACATGGCCTAACCGGGGGACCAGGTGTGTCCTTTGCTGGTGTGCACTCCTCAGGTCCGTTTCACGAAGAAGCTTTAATAAAAACTTGAAGTTTGTTAACGTGATATCAGGGAAACTCAGACTTTTCTGTTTCATGAAGAGAGTTTACTCAACCCATTTTTCTGTTGCCGTCGTAACATTCTCCCCAGACCTAACCTGGCTGCTAGCAGGTTTTGTTCAGTAAACTCAGTGTCTCCACTCTCCTTAAAGCCAATCATGTTTTTTCCCCCTGATTCAGTCAGCTGAGTTTTGTCGTAGTTTTGTGCAAACAATAAAAAGAAAATCATTTACTAGATCCATTACAAACAATAGGGGTTAAAAACACAAACAAAGCATGTCCTATTGATGAGGATATAGTTAAAAATGAGCAACATTAATTCACAGAGAAGTGCATATTTATAGTGATAGGGTTCTCAGAGCGGGTATAGATGTCCTTTATATTCAGAAAGTTATCTTTATGAGTGCAATTGTTTCGCCTCACAATCCATCACATACATCCAGACGTTTTTCATCCTCACATTAGCAGCATAACACAAACAGGTATTTAATAGAACTTGATACTGGTGAGAGCACATTGATCTCTTTGATAACAGCATTACAGAAAACAACTGCACAGTCAGACAAGAATCCCTAAAACCCCATGAGACGATACACAGGTCCTACCTACCAACGAAATCATTCTTCAGCTGTTGGCAGGTGATTGTTCTGAAATTGAATACCCACTACCATTCAACCAGTGAACTAGTCCATCCATCCATCCATCCATCCATCCATCCATCCATCCATCCATCCATCCATCCATCCATCCATCCATCCATCCATCCATCCATCCATCCATCCATCCATCCATCCATCCATCCATCCATCCATCCATCCATCCATCCATCCATCCATCCATATTCTTCTGTTTATTCCATCTGGTTCTTAGTGGAGCCGGTCCCAATCTTTGGCAGTCTATGGGCAAAAGGCGGGGGTACACAGGTCGACATACAAAGAAAAACAACCATGCACAACCCTAAATACAATTAAGAGAAGCAAATTAACCTATCAGTCATGTTCTTGGATGTTGAAGAAATCCTGAGTACCACGAGAGAAACCCTGCATCCACTGGGAGAACATGCAAACTCCATGCAGAAAGACCCCGGGCCGGGAAACAAAGCCGGAACATTCAAGTCCACTGCTTTTTCATCCACTAGACCAGAGGTTTTCAACAGGGGGTCCGAGACCCCTAGGGGGTCCACGGAGGTACTGCATGGGGGTTGTGAAACTTTTGGTCGATGAGTCTTTTTTTTATATTTGCCCCTGCAATTTTTTCCACTAACTGAAATTTCTTTCAATCCACATTAACATGAATTCAACACACTGTAGTAAACAGATAAATGGAGGCAGAAGATGTATTTCAGTCATCAATGCACACATTCAGCGACACACAGGAGCTCTTTCAAGCTGGGCACCGTTTCATTCACAACACCTGTCCCATCAACCAGGAATCAGAATCAGAAATACTTTAATAATCCCAGGGTGAAATTACTCCATCTTTAATAGAGTGACTATAGGACCACTTTGATATAACACAATTTCATACAATATATGTAATTAGGGGGTCCCCGCTCCATCTCGCCATCAGTTTGGGGGTCCTTGGCCTGGAAAACGTCTAAGACCCCTGCACTAGACGATCTGAAACTCATTTAAAATGGTGTAATCACTATAAAGTGCCCTATATAGTGACAATATATAGCCCTAATCACTATATAGTGCCCTATATAGTGATTAGGGCGGACATTTGGACACAGCCAAAGAAACTGCCTTAAGTTCAGGAAGTAGTTGATTTGTCACAGAGCCCATTTTTACTCGTCATAATTTGTATTATTTTGAGTATGAAGAAATTCATTTCACATATCAAAAATACACATTCAGTCAAGCTGATCATGAGGAAACATCAACTTAAAATATGTAAACGTTTCTAGGTATATAACGCTTAATTCTGACTAGTACAATTTTGTTTTTGACATTCTGAAATTCAGTTTGTGCTGCAAAAATGTAATTGTAGGAAATCTGTTATTACTGTTCCAACAAGGAGTGTTATTTTTACCTGGAAGAATCCTATTTTAGTGATTTGCAAATAAAACAACAGAGAGGAGAGTGCTTTTAATAAATATTAAAACAACCTGCCACAGCAGACTTCATTTAAACTGATGCATTAACTAGAGCAGTGGTCTCCAACCCTGGTCCTCAAGATCTACTGTCCTACAGATTTTAGATGCATCCCTGCTTCAACACAGCTGAATCAAATGATTGATTACCTTTTCAAGCCATTCATTTGATTCAGCTGTGTTGAAGCAGGGATGCATCTAAAATATGTAGGACAGTAGAGCTTGAGGACCAGGGTTGGAGACCACTGAACTAGAGTAACAGTCTTCTCCTTTGCCATCTTCCTCTCCTTTGCAACTGTAGTGCTGTTGCTGTCTTTTAAACACATTCTCCAATATATTTTTTTTAATTTCTGCATTAAAATCTCTAGTTCCAGTGGGGTGAAATGGGCACTTCGTCTTCCCTGTTGTCATGGTGACTCGTCAAATCAGGGCTCCACTGATAATGGTTTTTCATATTTGTTACGCATGTGCTAAACTCTAAATGGGCCTACTCAGAGTTGATTAGGTACACAGACAAAGAAGAGGAAAAGTAGCAGTCCCACAGTTCTTATAAAAAAGCACACAATGGCAGGGCCTCATATTGCCCTGTAATGGGTCTCTATGGGAGTCTTCTGCAGAGAGACTGCAGCCTTGAAGGTAGTATAGTTGTCAAGACCACACCAACCGAGACCAAGGAGGACAGAGACAAGGCCAAGACCTTTAGAGATCGGGACCAAGACAAGGCAAAGACATTATATGGTATTGGTCTTGTCTT